CTCTGTAGAAAGTATTCAAGTCTGAGGCACCCCCAGATGGCTCACGCTGGTAGAGCGGTGCCCCCAATGTGCAATGGCTGCGGGGCCATGGGGTTCAAATCTTGACCTGTGGGCCTTTACTGGCATGTAATCCCACCACCTCTCTCCTACCGCGCGTCTTCCTGTCTGTCTTCAAGCTGTCCCTCATCTAATAAAGGGACAAAAGAAGCCCGTAAAAATAAATTTAAAAATAGAATATTCAAAACGAAAATAACACCATTTTATACCGAACAGTGCAAGAAAACTGCAATTCTTTTTTACCCCCCCAAAAAAATGCATGGGATTGGGGCAATAGGTCAAGTGGGGCCATTGTTAACCCAAAGGGGAGGACTCATGCGGTATCGCCAGTTAGAAGAGCCATTTTCACCTCCAGATATCCTGAGGTTCAGAGGCACAGGAATCCTTTGAGAAATGGCCATGCCATTTTTCCATCATTACTATTTAAAAGTCTAACCTTCCTGGAGTGTTATTTAGTTTCCTGAAGCATGCTAGCATGACCATGGTTTGGTACCAATGGTCTTCCCTACTTTCATATGATCAGGCAGTATCTTCCAACTCCCTCAGCTTAAAACAAGCCTATTACCATCTGAAAAAAATCTGGAGTGGAAGAGGTAACACACGGATACGCGCTCCAATTGGATGCAGGGCAGTGCCCACCACGGCTCCTCCTGATGGAACCAACCCTGCATACAGGAATTTACCTCTGTATGTTCGGTGCAATAAAACATACGTGAACCGCAGAAAATAAGAAAATACAAAAGCAAGTACCGCTACACCGTACAAAGTCAATGGATGCACACAAAAGGTAGCAAATAACAAATCACTGAAGCACATAGTCTATCGGTGAAAGTCCAGCTATTTTTATGAGGGGAACCATTACTCGCTACTCCCTTGTTTAAAATATTCGTGCTTTCGGCGGCGCACCACAAGCTCGAACACAACAGAGAACATTACAATCACCTGCTCATTTCTCGTTCTGCACCTCATCACAGTATCACACAAATGAGCGCATTTTAAAGTGAAACGAAACACTCACAAAACCAAGTATATATATTCAAGATAATTCAATATTTATTAAATTTTGCTTTGTGCACTGATATACATTCCCCCCCCCCCCCCCCCCTATAAAGTCACGTTACAGTTTACACTGTGATTTTGAAGGCTAATGTTTGTATTTCCGGTGTTGTCATGGTTACTCCTCACCAACTTGACGGAGCTGCTGCAGCCGCTGGAGTCACCCAGGTCCCTCCTCCCCTCCCCGGTCAAAGATGACATCATCCGTAGTACAAGAAGACTCGTGCAACAGGAGGGATGGGTGTGGATCTCACCAGTGTTGCCCTCAAACAAACAAACAAAAAACCCCCATTGGGTTGTGTGCCAGGTGTGTTGTTGATCCTAACCTGCACATTCGACACTAAAATGTCTCTGAATGATCAAATAACATGGTCTGTCTTATCTGGTCTGACAAGCAAACTCACAAGAAAATAGTCATTTTATAACATGAGACATGAAACACATATTAATATTATGGTAAAGATAATTAGATTGGTGAAAAGTTGCCTAGCTTAATATATGTCTACTCAAGTCCTGTACTCGAGGACGGTTCTAAAGTATTTTCCTTACTTTACTTTAATGCTAATTCAACCTTTTAGAGGGAAATATTATAGTCTTACTTGAGTTTATTACTATGGGGTCTTACTATGTATGTACAATAACATAGGCTACTGTATATTTATTTGCCTGAGAATGACATACAACTACTATAAAACAATGGGAATTGTAAAGTACCCCTTACATAAATCCTCATTTGGACAAAAATTTCAGTTCAGGGGTTGGAAATGTGGAATTCCTCACCTACAGAACTCAAACCGGATCCTGACCTCAGATCATTTTAATCTCAAACTGGTTTTGGAGAGGGATCAGTCATGTAGTCTTCAATTATTATTGTATTTCAATGTATTACTTGTCTCCTGTATTGTTGCTGTTTTCTTGCTTAGTTTTGTGTTTTTAATGTATTATTGTTGAGTTTGTGTTTTGTACTGTCTTGTTTATTTATTTATTTTTATGTTTTTGATTGGCCCATGTACGGACAGGCATTGTAAATAGATTAAGCTTTAAGTGTCATTTGTTTATGCTAAATACTTATCCCTATACAAATAAACAATAAAAATAATAAAATAATAAACACTACAACTCTACATATTAGGTTTTAACAAGGTCAGAAAGGATATATATATATACACACACACATATGTATATAGTTATAGTTGTAAAGTAAGTAAATAATTAATATTAGAACTTTGTGCTCATGTTAGCCTATATAAAGAAGATTACTTCTCTGTTATTCAAAAATGAATCTATATTTTGGAAATTTGTTGCCTCCTGAAATTCTGTATAAACATACATGGAAATTCCTTACTGCGTACTTAAGTGCTCATACAATGAATGCTCATGATGTTAATGTGTTAATGGAGTCGGAACAAGGGAAAGTGGATATTTAGAAACTGAACTTCCCTCTTAGTCCAACAGTGTAATCATCATTAGTCGGCCACACCAAAGGCCCATTTCCTTTTGAGAAATACATGAGACTGAGTTTAAATAAACAAGTTCAAAGCTCAAATGGGAAAAATCTGATTTATTTCTAAACTGGTACACGTTATCCCTCTACCTCACATTTTGGTAGCTCACACCATCCCTCTAAACAAACAGTAATGGATAGAAACATAAAAATAAAACTTCTGATACAGCTTTAAAAATATATGGATAATCTAAATAACAACATGACATAACAAAAATGGTACAAAAGAGGTATATGGTACATTTAAGGGCATACAATGTTCTTCGCCACTTCTACAAAGTTCAAATTTAGTGCATCTGAAGAAAAAAACTCTTGAAAAGTCCCTTTCATCTCTTAATAAGGCATATGTGTGAAACTTATCACATCTTACTATACCGAGACATTTACTGAGAACGGATGACTTTCTCCTCCGAGGATTAAATAATGAAAACATGTCGTTAAATTAAACAAATGATCCTCTTCCTTCATTATTATTATTATTATTATTTTTTGTACTAAACATAAGGATAATCCTCTGTCCCCCTTTATTGTAATGAGAGAAATAAAACAAGCCCTCTATGAGCACATTCAATAAAAACATATCACAAATCAACAGGCTACCACAGAACATGTGCAACAGTGCCTAAGGTGTCGTCATTCATTCATTGTTAAGAAAGGAAGTACAGCAATAAAGAGTCAACTGATTCTGTTTAGGTCCAGTGCTGAAAAAAGGTCCATTCCTCTGTTTTTTACTTCCTACATGCTTTTTTAATGTACAGACATGAATCTAATGATTTTTTTTTGTTTTGTTTTGTATCTTTTATGTGTTCAGTTTTTACAGATTTACAGATTTCCATTCTTATACCATACCGGCATCTCTTTGGTTTCCACACATTCTCTTCTGCAACTCCCTTTACAATGTATGACTGTGAAACTGCGGGAGGCTTTTTGTTTTGTTTTGTTTTGTTTTGTGTTTTTTTTTTTTTTTCTACAAACAGAGTCACATTTAGTTTATGACATGAAAATTAACAATCCATTCAAATGATTTGAGTAGCGGTTCAGCCTTGAACGTAAAAGAGGAAAGAAAAATACTACACAGGTTTTAATTCTCACTGGCAACCGTCACAAACAGCAGGTCTGGGAGAAAGAGTGTGACTTCTCTTATACTGTCACTGAAAATATTTTGTTACAGGACTGGGTTGAAGTGAAGCGGCTGGGACTGGGTCCAGTCTGGTGGGTTGATGAAGGTGCTGTTTAGACCCGAGTCTCCTCTATGACAAATGTGTTTTCTTTTCCCCCCTCCCTCCATCAGTCCAGGGGTTTAGGGAGCTTGGAAGGACCCTAAAGTCATAGCGGTCGCGGCAGCATCCCGTCATGTCTCTGACTCGTGCTCCGCCAGTGGGATGACAAAGACAGTGATGTCATCGCCTGAGCCCAGTTTATCATTTGGTAGCCGCCATCCGCGCTCTTTAAGCACCCCTCGTGATCTCATCAGCAGGTCCTGGGCTGCCAGTGTATACCTGTGTAACACACAGAGGGCGGTGATTACAACAGTGACATCATTTGAGACAAGCACACATACAAAATATGTACTTATTTCAGCACTCACTGATTAATGTGCAGCCTTTAGTAGGGCAAACAGACCAATGTTTCAACACTACTGCATCTTCAAAACCATTACGTTGCCATTTACTAACAGTAGATGAACATATAATAAACTGTTGTAATTATATAAAATGTGTCTTTATAGGAGAAGTTACAATTGTTGAAAGTATTGTACATCAACCCACACTTAAACATGTCCTTATAATTGCTTATACCTACATTATAATGTGTTATAGATGAGAAAATGGGTTACAAGTCTCTGGAACTCTACTGGAGGGATGAACACATAAGATATTCCCTCATTTTGTGTTTTGATGATGGTGGTGGAGAGTGCTGGCTAAACACGTTGGTCCAAAATCTCAATTGGGTTGAGATCTGGTTTTCATACTCAAGAAACCATTCAGTGATTTGTGCGCTATGGATTTGGGCATTGTCATCCTGGAAGAGAGAGACCACCCCCATCGACACTGAAATGTTTCATCACAGGATGAAGGTGATCACTCAGAACAACTTTGTATTGATTTGCATTAACCCTTCCCTCTAAGTGGACCCATACAATAGCAGCACAATGCCCCAACAGCATAAAAGAGCCACCGGATCCTCTCACTGTAGGGGTCAAGCATTCAGGCCTATACCGTTCACTTGGTGTACACCATACATGCACATGACTCATTCACTTTTTCCACCTCTCTGTAGACC